TTTTTAAAGATTTTATTTATTTATTTGAGAGAGAGAATGAGAGACAGAGAGCACGAGAGGGAAGAGGGTCAAAGGGAGAAGCAGAACCCCCGCTGAGCAGGGAGCTTGACGTGGGACTTGATCCCGGGACTCCAGGATCATGACCTGAGCCGAAGGTAGTCGCCTAACCAACTGAGCCACCCAGGCGCCCAAGATAGTAAATTTCTGATTGCGATTCTGTTATACCACTAGTGTATACTCCCCTTCTCTCCCAAATAAATAACCAAAAAATGAACTACAATTTAATGTGAATAAATGTACAAATGCATTTGCTTTCCATGCACTGCAGTACATAAATGACAAATAAAAAGATCATATGGAAGTAAATGACATTGAAAAATTACTAACTTTCCGGGCCTTAAACTTATATAGCATAATTTTTAAGCTTTATTTTCTATCAGGAAGTCAATTCATTTGGAAAACAGAATTAAATTATATGTAATAATAATAATAAAAGTCAACTCTATTCTTCATAATTGGCAAAATTTGGAATAATCTTTAATCTTATAAACCACACAAAGCCTGCAAAAAATCTCCCATTAGTTACAATGTATTTAATATACACAATGCATTCCCACTCTAACGGAGAACCAAGCGAAAGTAATGAAGTCTGATACATGTTCAAGTTTGATGCTGAAGAGAATCAAAATTGATTAATTCTTCTCAACCTAGTATATTTTGGACTATGATACAGTTTTAATTATCCTTTCATTAGCATGCAACCAACATTTTGGGGACATGTATGGGATTTCAAAAGACATATCAAACGAAGAAAAGCAGGAAAAAGAGATTTAAGAAAGTAAGGTTGACACAAAATGGCAGAAAAGTACATTCCAGGGATTGGTCCCACCACGAAAGTAATCACTGAGCTAGAAAGAGTAAATAAACTACTTCAAAACACTGAAACCTAATTGGATACTTACAACAAAGGAAGTGTTTGTTGAAGGGAGACACTGCTGTTTTCTGGTAAAAGAACAACATGCACAAAACAGGTATCAAACCCCATTCCTCAGCACCACTGTGAAGATAATGCCTGAGTCCCTGAGGTGCTAATGCCAGGGTGGGCAGTGGGACTCATGTTATTTGAAATTTGAGGATGTGCATTTTGGTTGGTTTGGCAGTTTCCTGAAGGGCCAGTACAGGTGCTTGCCTTGGTTTCAACCCTCTTAGGTTGCAGTAGCTTCCCAAGATGGCATCTATCAGAAGACTTAAATAGACAGACACACCTCCCCTGCTTTTTGGAACCAGACATTTAAGGAAATCTTTGTCAGATTACTGGCTGACAGCAGAGATAATAAAACCCTAAATCCAGTAACCATACACAAGGAATATACAGCTTGCAACAATTGTTGGGAAAAATTACAAACAAATAGCTACAGCTCTCAGCAAACAAAAATCAGTAGTCAGTGAGGAGTAGAAAAATCCAAATTCCACAGTTAAAATAGACTCAATGTCCAGTTCTCAAAAACAACAAAAAATCACAAGGCCTGCAAAAAAAAAAAAAAACAACAACAAAAAACCCCAAACAAACAAACAAAAAAACAGGAAGGCATAAGCTACACAGGAAAAAAAAAGAATATGACAGAAACTATCCCTGAATAAACTCAGATTTTGGAATTAGTCAAAAACACTAAATCAACTATCTTCAATGAGCTAAAGGAAACTATGAACAAATACATCAGCTCTGAGCAGGACCTGAAAGAAGTCCACACTGAGACACATTGAATCAAATTGCCAAGAAAGAGAGTGATTTTAAAACACCAAGAGGGAAGTGAAATGTCACATTTAAGGGATCCACAATAAGACAGATATCTGATTTCTCCAATGTAAGCAAAAAGGTAGTGGGATAACATATTTAAAGTCCTGAAATTAAAAAAAAAAAATAACAAACTCTGAACCAAGAATTCTGTATCCAGCAAGACTATCCTCCTTTAAACAATGATGGAGAAAGTAGATATTCCCAAATTAACAACAGCAACAAATATAATTTATTGCTAGCAAACCTGTTCTGTAAGAAATACTAAGAGGTCCAACAGACAGAAATAAAAGGACACTAAACAGTAACTCAAAGACATAAGAAATAATGAACAATTATAAAGGGAATTACATAGATAAATATAAAACCTGATGTTACTGTACTTTTGGTTTATAACTTTTTTCTATGATTTACAAGGCAAATGAGTAACACAATAATTAAAAATCTATGTTAATGATCATACAATGTGCAATGATGCAATCTGTGACAAAAACAATATAAAAGGAACAAGTATGTATAGGAAGAGTGCACGTTATGAAAACTAAGTTTGTACTATTAAAAATGGGTTGTTATAAGTTTAAGATATTAATTATAATCCCTAAAGAAACTAATAAGAAAATAACTGAAAACACAGAAATAAATATGGGAATCAAAATAGTAAGCTACCAAAAACAAATTAAATATAAAAATGGTAATAGAGAAATTAAGGAACAAAAACATGTAAGAGATACAGAAAACAGCTAACTGGAAGAATTAAGCCCTTCTTTAGGAATAATTACTTTAAATGTATATAAATTAAATTCTCCAATTAAAAGAAAGAGCTTGGAAGACTGGATTTAAAAACAAACATATTTATCTATACACAGTCTACATGAGACTCAGCTTTAGATAAAAAGATACAAAGAGGCTGAAAGCAAAAGAATGGAAAAACATATTCCATATAAACAGTAACCACATATACACACACATACACAGAAACAAACTGTGGTGGCTATATCATTGTCAGACAAAATAAACTTGAAATAAAAAAAAGTAACAAGAGACAAAGAAGGATATTCTATATTGATAAAATTTTCAATGCCATCAGGAAGATATAGTTATAAGCAAATGCCCAACTAAAAGCAGAGCTCAAAAATACATTAAATAAAAATTAACAGGACTGAAGAGAGGAAAAGCCAGTTCTAAAATAATAGGTGGAAGGGTCCATGGCTGGCTCAGTCAGAAGAGCATGTGACTCTTGATCTTGGGGTTGTGAGTTCAAGTTCCATGTGGGGTGTAGAGATTACTTAAACAAATAAACTTAAAAAATAAATAAAATAATAGGTGGTGTATTTCTTTAAGATTTTATTTATTTATCTTCAAGAGAGACAGAGAAAGGGAGAGGCATAGCAGAGGGAGAGGGACAAGCAGACTCTGCGCTGAGTGTAGAGCCTGATGCAGGGCTTGATCCCACAACCCCGAGAGATCATGTCCTGAGCCAAAACAAACAGTTGGACACCTAACCATCTGAGCCACCCAGGCGCCCCAATAGGTGGAGTATTTAATACTCCACTTTCAATAATGGATAGAATAAGAAGACAGAAGAATAACAAGAAAATAGAGAATTTGAACATCACTATAATCTGATTACCCCTAATAAATTTATACAAAACAGGCTTTCTAACAACAGCAGAATGTACATTCTTAAGTGCACATGGAACATTCTCCAAGATATATCACATATCAGACCAAAAAACAAGTCCTAATAAATTTTAACTGACTGAAATCATGCAAAATATCATTTGTGATCACAATGGAAATGTCACTAGAAATAAATAACAAAGGAAAAGGAGAAAATTCACAAATATGCACAAATAACACACTCTTTAAAAAGCAATGAGTCATAGAAGAAATTACAGGGGAAATTAGAAAATACCTTGATATGAATGAAAATGAAAACACAACATGCTAAAACTTACGGAATTCAGCAAAAGCAGAGCTAAGAGGAAAATTAAAGCAATAAACATCTACATTAAAAAAGAAGAAAGGTTTCAAATCAATAACCTAATTGTATACCTTAAAGAACTAGAGGAAAATCATACTTAAACCAAAGCAAGAAGGAAATCTACAAATTAGAACAGAGGTAAAATGTAATTAATTAATTAGAGAACTGGAAAACCAATAGAGTAAAAACAATGATACTGAAAGTTGATTCCAAAATTGACAAATCTTTAGCTAGACTGACTAAGAACAACAAAAAGAAGACTCTAATAACTAAAATCAGAAATGATAGTTGGGACATTATTACTGATTTTATAGAAATTAAAAAAGATTATAAGAGGATACTATGAATAATTGTACACTAGCAAATTGGATAACTTAGAAGAAATTGACAAATTCCTAGAAACACACAAACTACAAAAACTGAGTCCAGGGGGGGAAAAAAAGAAAATCTGAGTAGACCTATAGCAAGTAAGGAGATTGTGTAAGTAACCGAAAACCTAGTAACAAAGAAAAGCCCAGGACCTGAGAGATTCACTGATGAATTCCATCAAATATTTAAATAAGAATTAACACCATTCCTTTTCAAACTCTTCCAAAAAAATTAAGAGAAGGGAACACTTCCTAACTCATTCTATGAAGCCATCATTACCTTGATAGCAAAACTGGTCTAAGACACAAGACGACTACTACCTCAGGCCAATATCCCTTAATAAACACAAGTACACATTAAAAGATACAGTAGGCAACATATAGCATAAGTCCCATGGGAAATTACTGTATCCTGTTCTGTACAACTGTACAAGTTATCTTTTGTTCTCTCTGCTTCTATTTTCCCTCCTTCCAGTTAATTTTGCATTTCCATTAAACTCTAGGCCTGCAATGGCATCCATTGTGTAACTGATGAAACTAAATTTAAAATATCA